ATTTTCTGCTGGAAGAACAAGAAACAAGGAATATGAAATGTTTCATGGGTTTAACATATCTTCATGCCTAAAACCCAAACCAAAAGGGAAACGTGCGATGCAACAATTTAGGAGAATCAGCTGCTCAGCCACAGAGGTGCACTAGGTGACTGGCCAGTCACTCTCGCTCAGCCTAAACTACCTCACAGAGTTGTAGGAAAAATGAGGAGGGGGAACATAATGTATGCTGCTTTGAGCTCATAAAGGAAAACTGGGATATAAATCTGACAAAATAAATACAATAGGCCAGAAAATATTGATTGATTGATTGATTGATTAGATTTCTCTCCCGCCCATCTCCCCTACAATAGGGGACTCAATATAAACCAAGAAATGAGTTTCTATTATGCTGCGACTTTCACAAGAGCAGATATGATACACTTGAAGAAAAGTCAGTTTTATAGGAACAGAAATGGGAAACGTGGATACTTTTTACCTCCACTGCCTACAATGAATCTTGTAACACTGAGGTCTCTGCAATGCTGAACGTTTAATTGTGAGCACCACAAATGTACTTAAAAAAACTGTGCCAGCCTGGCCTCAAAACAGGAAACCAGGACAGACTGATAGGGTGCCTATAATGTTGTTTCAGAGTAATTCCCACCCATTTTCGTCTCTTCCAAGTCCCTTGAGCTAGCAAAGGAGCAGGCATCTTTCTGGACCTCTGAGACACCCAAGGTATGGATACTGTAGATAGCAGCAAGAATGCCACAGTAATAGTGGGAATATCCCTAGGAATGGCCATAGGCAGGGCCTATGTATTGTGTGCAGGAAAACCCCGGTTCAGTCCCTAACAAGGAAACTGTTGCCTCAGCAGTCAGAGTTTGCAATACTGGGCTAGAAGGGACACTGCTTTCACTCACTCAGGATAGCATCCTATGTTTTTACACAGCAAAGCAAGAGCTACGAGATCTGGTCTGCAAAATTCTGGTCAGCACTAGATGGCAGCAAAGAGGATATTCTTTCAGCTTTTGAGTGGTCATCTGGCTTTCTGCAGCCCGGAAAAGGGAACTCTCCTTACCTCATCTGGCGCCCATTCCAAAGGAAGTGTGGATCTTGCAAAGCCCCAGATCTTCCTTAGTCGTCACATCAGCTGAGATGAGCTTTTGCATTTCTGAACACAACCCTAGAAGCAGCATCATGAGAATGCCCTAATAGTTAATAATGTCAAGATCTATTCTTAAGCAGACTAGATCATGGGTTACGTTAAATTTTTCATGGTTGGGTAGATTTTGGCGGGGGAGTGGTGGTGGTGGTCTTCAAGTCAATCTTGACCACTGGCAACTACATGACCTAGTCCATGTAATCTTCTAAACAACATTTTTGAAGTAGTTTGCCATTGCCTTCATGCCGAGAGAGAATGACTGGCCCAAGATCACTCAGTTAGCTTCCATGCCTAAAGCAGGATTAGAACTCAGGTTTCCCTGAAGCATTTTAAACACTAGACCAGACTGGCTTCGTAGATTAGTGGCTCTTAAAAAGCTACTTCTTGTTGTTGTTGCAAACAATTCCCGTGATTCTTCCAGAAGCAGATTTTAAAGACTGGAAGAATTCTGTACTTAAATTCATCTTTCAGGCTGAACAATCAAGAGCTAATAAACCACATTACTGTATATTTGAAAGCTCAAACAGGAGAATGGCATTTCCTAATATTTCACATGATTTTGATGCCTTTCAACTTAGTTAATCCATTTAACAGCCTTAGACTATCCATTTAACAGCCTTAGACTATTCTACCTTTAATCTATCTTCACATTTCATGCCCAAGGTAGAATAGTCTAAGGCTGTTAAATGGATAGTCTAAGGCTGTTAAATGGATTAACTAAGTTGAAAGGCATCAAACAAGGTAGAATAGTCTAAGGCTGTTAAATGGATAGTCTAAGGCTGTTAAATGGATTAACTAAGTTGAAAGGCATCAAATTTGTTTTTGTTCTCCTAAAAAAAAGGATGAAATGTGAAGATAGATTACTTACTAAAATAAATTTGTTTTTGTTCTCCTAAAAAAAAGGAACACAGTTACAACTGATAATGTGTTTCTGAATTGCTCTTGGTCTGGAATAGGTAGCATTAAGTTTTAATGACTATGGTATTTCCTTTAATTCTATTGTCAAGTTATCCCAATCTGCTAGCTACATTTCTTACTGGAATGATAAAAAAATAGCAAGGTAGAAATTTATGCAAGCTTCGGAGAGTCCTACCTTGGAAGTAAACCTTTGATTGAAAGAATTAATAGAAACAACTCAGGGTTCTCATTGTGTTGTTTTACTGTGTAGAATGCAATTTGTAATTGGCTCCCTGAGATAAGTGAAATAGCCACCAGAAAATTAAATCTTTTTGAAAAAAATATATTTATAAATTTTAGATAATCCAAGCAAAGCCATTTCTGAAACTGACATCATTCTTAATATGACTGTATATCATCCTAAACAAATCCTTGAAGAAATCTGAGAGACAGATAAAAAGAAAACTATGTGCCAATTAACATGGAAAGGAATATGGCAACCCCCTCCCCCTTTCTGAGCCATTCCTATATTAGTTAGACAACACTGTACCTTTAATTCATAAATGGCACTATAGCATGGTTTAGCTTAATAAATACGGCATATGTAAGGAAAAAATTTAAAAGATACTAGACCGATACTCATCTCTGAGTAAGAAATTTTGCAATCTCTCTCAGCCAACTAATTTCTCTGGGGTATCGTGAGCGCTTCCTTTCATGACAGAAGTTAGGGGCATGGGAAACTTCAGCGGGAAGTGTGGAAAGCAGAGAGGAAATGAGCTGTCAAAGGTACTTGGGGGAAGGGAAGCTGGCAGCAGGACTAAACGAAACAGATGCTTTTTTTTCTTCCTGATTCTGAAGTTTGCTTTAGTCCATAACGCAGCCAGCCAAATAAAATATTTCTCTCAACTTTGGAATCCTTGAGATATGCAGTTTTCTTAGAATCATGTCAATCAAGGAGAATATGGGTCATGTAGGAGGGGAAAATGTACCCTTTTCTAGTAGCCTGCATATTCTTTCCTTTAAACTTTTTGTGCAATTTTGTGCCTACTGAAGGAGGTTGTAAAGGGTGGGGAATGAACTAGAAAGTTTGAGGATTTGCTACAGCAGCCTAGGCATCTTTGAGACAGGAAGAATTCAGTTCCCAGAATCCCCCCGTCAGGAATAGCTCTTGCCCAGAATTCTAAGATTTGACATCCACACTTAGGATGTTGCCAAGTTTGGCAAACCCTGTGCTAGAACTGAAACAGTTTATTGGCCATGCCTCTACCTCGTGGCAGAAAGGACAAATAGCTGAAGAGTTGATATAAATTGCTTCCTTCACACTGATGATGGGAAGAAAATGTTGAGGGCTCCACCATACTGCAATACCAAAGTGTCATTATGCAGTGCGAGAGCCAGCAGAAAACTATACTGGCTTGAAGAAGTGCTAACTGCATTTATAATGCCTATTTCACCTTAGCAATGAAGCAGAGAACGGGTTCTGTATGCAGCACAAGTTGGGGGAGGAGAGAAGTGGGTGGGAAACGCCTCCTTTGATGACAGTTCCTGGCAGCAGAAAATCTATGGGACTTCTGCTGTCAGGTTTCCAATCCCATCAGGCAGTGTTTCTCAATCTCAGCCACTTTAAGATGGATGGACTTCAATTCCCAGAATCCCCCAGCCAGCATGCTTAAAATTGCTGAGGTTGAGAAACACTGGCACTGGGTGATCACGCTAGATCAGGGAACTGGCAGCAAAGGAGGTCTTCTCTCCGATCACTCCTGCCGGTCAGAGGGGGCAGGTAAAGGAGAGGGAGGGAAGAAGGGGAAGCAGGGTTTTTTGGTGCCGTCTCTCCTGGCACCAAACAGACCACACCTCCTCCGTGGAGTGGCAGCTGAAGAGCTGCGTTCCCAGTGAGTCTGAAGTGACCGTGCACCTGCAACCCCATAGTAAAGCCACCCACAGCTCCACTGAGAGGGTTCCAGCTGCAGCTTTTCCCCTGTGAGAAAGTTGCCCTGGCCTTATGGAAGGGCTGTGGGCTGCAGAGCCCTTTTCACCCACTTCTCTTCTTCTTTGGGAATGGAAACAAAGGGAGCACCTCTTCAGCTACTCCGTGGGTGGAGGTGGGTCTTTTTGTTGCTGGGAGAACTGGCCCCCCTCTTTCTTCCCCTGCTTCTTCTGCTATCCATGGGCTGGGAAAAGAAGTGGGTGAGATGGCTTTTTGGCCCAATGGGACAGCCCTGGCTCTCCTGCCTGGAAAATGAGTGGCTGGCAGCCAGAGGGGATGGCATGTTCTCAGTAGCCTCAGGTGGCCAGTAGGACCAGGACAGGTCTTAACCCGAAATTTACCTCGGAACAATTGGCCACAGAGTGACCATTTTGCATTGCTTGTGCTGGTGGAAGTTGAAAAACAGCTCTTTTGAAATGGAGCAAGAAAAAAGGAGCAAGGCTGCTTTCACGGTGGGCCAGGAAACAGGTCTGAGGAAGATGCTGTGCATTTATGTCCTTCAGAAACACTTGGTAGGCAGAAACATCTTTGTACCAGGGCTAGCAGATAAGCCCTTAGAAAGAAACCAGAAGGGATGTAGACAGTCAAATCTTTCTCCACCCACCTTTCTGCCCTTGCAGCTCCATGCAGCCAGCAAAGCAATTGAAGTATGAAGAATCCCCAGTTTAAGGACGACCCATAGTTAAGAACAGAGCCTTTTGTAGCAAAATTCTAGTTAAATACACAATGGATCGAGTTCATTACACAATACTACTTATACAGTATTATACAATAATACTGTTCCAGCTTACATACAAATTCAACTTAAGGACAGACCCTGGGAACGGAACTCATTAAACTGGGGTCTACATGTACTCCAAGGCCAGAGTTTCCACTGAACATCAGGCCTGCTGTGACTGGTGTTCCTTAAGATGCCCAGAAGTAGTCCACTCTGGGTTAATCTAACATGCAAATCTTATTTTTGTTTTGCAGATGTGGGGGAATGGCACAGATGCATCAGGGGAGTCCTTCCCTTTGAGAGAAACACCAAGCTCTCTCCCTAACAATTCAGCACATTTGCAGTGTGTTGCTGAAGCAGCATTCCAGCACTTACTGTTACCCATTGTTTACAGCCTGGCTTGTGTCCTGAGCCTGGCCTCAAACAGCGTGGCCTTGTGGAGTTCTTGGGTCTCCCGAGCCCAGGCCCCACCTGTCATGATCTTCATCTACAACCTAATTATCATTGACCTGCTATTTGCCCTGTCTCTGCCATTACAGGCAGTGTATCATGCCAGGCACAATGACTGGCCCTTTGGAGAAGGCCTGTGCAAAGCCACCAATGCCCTTTTCCTGGCCAACATGTTCAGCTGCACCCTCTTCCTGGCCTGCATCTGCCTGGAGCGTTATATGGCTGTTCTCCATCCCGTCCTCTACCTGCACCTCAAATGGCCTCTGTATCGTGTGCTGCTCTCCATGGCTATCTGGTCTTTGGTAGGGATTGGATTACTGATATTCTTCTCCAAGAGCACCGTGACTCATCGCTTCTCCAATGGAAACACTGCATGCATGGAAAATTTCCCAACCCAGGTCTGGAGTGGAAGTCTGGCAGCCATGGTGCTATCTTCCTCTGCCCTGGGCTTCTTCCTGCCCTTCCTTACTATCATTATCTGTTCCATCGTGATTGCCCGCCGAATTATGAATCTGGGCCATGGTACAATACAGGCATCTTCATTGCGTAGGCACTCCCTTCAAACCCTCTTGATGGTGACGAGCCTGCTTACCCTCTGTTTTCTCCCATTTCACACTATCCATGTTCTGCACACCCTGGGCCGTATTGGAGTCCTTTCAGCCCCAGGGCTGCTGCACTTCACTTGCTCAGCCCAGCGTGCAGCTATGGCCCTTGCTAGTGTTAACAGTGCTCTTGACCCTCTGGTATACTATTTTAACATGAATCCTGCCAATCGGAAGCTACCATGCTGTAGCATAGGCAGCCAAAATCTTATGGAGCCAGGTGAGGTTGCTAATCCAACAGGGGAGGGCCTTAGAAGGAGCATGATTCTCAGAGACTGAACCTTGTCTGAGGCTTCTTTCTGACACCTAGGTGAACGTGGTATCTTTTCCTGGATATTACTCTATAGCTCCTCTTGGGCAGAGAGAGAGAGATTGAGAGAAAGAAGGAGGGAGAATTTTTATCCATGAGTTCTTACTGACTTAATGCTTGCCTTGACTGGCATGATGTATCACTAGCCCAACCTATATCTTGGGCTTGACTAAGTTAAGATATAGAGGAATGGATAAATCTATATTTCCCAACATTGTATTCACCATAGCATTGTTCTACAATTCCCACTGTCCCCAGATAGAATTTCCATGGACAATGCTGGTTGATAATCAGGTTGAAGAAGACTAGATTAGAATGTTCTTCCAAGATCAAATCAGAACTGTAGCCCAGGAACAAAGAGTCTGAAGTGGTGGGAGCAAAGGCTGGTCTAGAGGAGAGGAGAGAGAATAAAAATAACCCAGGAATCCAGACTAGAGCCATCAGATGTGTGTTACAATGATCTGGGGTTAGAACTGCCCCTTTCTGCTGCCATCTACTGACCAGCAGGTGGTTGCAGCCCAGTTCCAGTCACCCTAATGCAGACAACAGCAAGACAATAATTGATTTGGGAAGCAACACAACAGTATGCCTGTGTGACTATGACTGGCTTTCATGCATTGGGCTGAGCCATAATGTAGTTTGGTTTGGGCTTAGTGCACTGTTGAAGTTAGCATTGTGCTTTGTAAACTATGATTTATAGCTTTATGCAGTGTGTGAATTCAGCCATTATAATTTATTCAACAGACTATGGTTAACAAAAGCATGGCAAGGAGAAACTTTGGAGGCAAGAATCAGAGTTCAGAGATAACGTGAGGGAAGGAAAGCTTATCATGTTAATCAGGACTGGAAGCATTGTAATTGTTGGGATTGTGATTTTATATTTATTTATATAATTGTGCGATGTTTTGGCTCAAAGTCCAGAAGATTGGGAGATAAGTAATCTGTACAAATCAGCTTTGGAAATAACGTGAAGTAAATTGATTAATTTGTTGCATGTTGTCATCTCCTTATACGTTTCCCAGCTTAACAGCTAAAACATCAAGAGCTGCAACAGTATACAGGATATAAAAGACATTTTTCTCATCTACTTGATTAAAAGGCCCCATTAAAGGAGGCCTGGCTACACTAGGCATAGCATGATTTCTTCACTTCTTGCCACTGCCAAATCTGGACATAGGTGTGAACCAGGTCTTTTACAGAATCTTAACTGATATCCATCTGGGGAAGAAGATCTGGAGAAAATGTAAAGCTTTCCATTTGAAAATGTTAAGAAGACAACACATATCTATGGTGTTGATAATGGATTTTAATACAGACTTCTTATAATGTGAGACCTATATGGATATTCTATAAAGTGTGATGATATACAAATAGTCCTATTTCGTCAACAGTACCTTCTGGATAGTAGAAATGGGGCACATTCATTAAGGACACTAAAATACAAAACCTCGGGGTTAGGGTTATAAGTAACTTTTAAAATTTTTGGAAGCAGCTCTCAGAACCTGTCTAAAAGTTATGATCAAACTGTAGTTCTTTGTAATGGGGCAGAAGGGGGACATAAATCCCATGTATCTAATAATCATATCAATTGGAGCTTATTAATTTAAATTCAAACATAATGAAATAATTTTTTATTGTCCTCTACCAACTTTTTGGGAGAGTAGCCCCCCAGCTTGCTATGCAAAAACCCAAGCCAGACGTATTATCTAAATTAGGCAATAATGGGCTCTGACAATGATTCATCATGTTAGCCCTTTCAGATGAGAAATATGAAAGTAGTTAATAATATTTAGGACTTTTAAAGGAACTGTATTATTTCTACAGGCAAGGTGAATCACAGCAACCATAAGATAATTCCCAAATTTCTCAGTATCGTGAGCCCCTAACATTTTAAAAAGGATTGGCCTTTCTCATTGCTTTGTTATTACAAATTCAGAATTGCTCTAAACTGAAGTCCTGAGAAATGCAGTCATTTTGTAAAGTGAAACAGAAAAACAATATTCCATATAAAGATTTTTCTTTGAGCTGAATGTCATTTCTTAACAATAAAGGGATAGAAATTTTAGTCCCAGTTGCTTTATTCAGAAAACTGAAGACATAAGGATAAACAGCTTAATATCCTTCCTGAGTGTGGATGGTGCTTAGAGATAATGTTTTTTTCTTTATTTAACTTTGCCTCTCTTTTTAAAATATTGCGAATGCAGTAAATGCTTTACTAGTTCAGAGGCATTAACTGCAGTCCTAAACGCATAACCACACTTCTGTTTAGTTAGTGCTTTTTTGTCCAATGTTTTACTGAATTAAGTAGGTATATGTACTCATAATAAATTGGGAGAAAATTTCACCCATAGTATAATACACATCAAGTGCTATTAAAAAGGAGTCAATAGAAGCTAAATGGTGCTTTTGGTGCTTAAGTCCCACTATTTTCAATACAATTAACACTAAGCCAAAAAGTCACATTTTTCTCACTCTGCCTGTCCGTTTATCTTGGGCAAGGAGGAGTGAGACCCCTACCTTCATTTCCCTCCAGTCTGTGGTTCTTGCCATCTTTTGTCTTTCTTCCTTTTAACTGGTTTTATTATAATTCTCTTGCTTTGGTTATCGTGAGCTGCCCAGAGTCATTGGGAATCAGGTGGCATACAAGTTTGATAAATAAATAAAGTAAACAAGAAAGCCTGGTGTGTGGTTCTGCGTGTGCAAAGCCTGATGCTGTCAGATTAAGATCCAAGCTTTCGTTCCTATTCTGCCTGGACAATAAGTCTGTCAATGTCTCCAGGCAGGATGGGGAAAATGTTTCTGGCTTAGCTCTAATGTATCTAAAATTTAACATCTGGTTCTCATATGAATCAGACCAAACTGGCTGGGTAACATCTCTGGCTCAAACAAAACTGCACACAGATAGTGCATATTCTGTTTGGAAAGCATGGAAAGCAGTCCATGAGGTACATCCAGTCCAGATGCTCCAGCTGTTCCTCCATGGAGTTGCCAGTCTATTTGCTCAAGGCAGGGTACTGCTATCTTGCATACACCATGAATGATAGCCAGTTATGCAATAGGCTAAATGTAGGTATGTTTCAGCACATGGCTACTCAGAATGAAAAGTCCCACCAACCCAATGGTACTTACTTCCAACAAAGTATGTGCAAAATTGCAGCATACAATTACTGCTATGAATAAACTTCATTCCTTAGGAAATGTAAGGAAAACATTTTTACAAACCTAGTAAGCCACAAGCTAAACTTACTGGACTGGCTGCTTCTGAAACTCACACACAGTACTGTTCTATGCAGATTGTCTTTCAGTCAGAAAGAATGGCCTCCAGAAAGTAGAAATTGGGATCAGAAAGTTTCTCACTATGGTCAGGGCAAAGGCAAGAACCACAGGCTTGGCCACATGTTCATGGCTATAAATACTTACAGTATGGTATATACAGTACCGTTAGGTGAGGCTGAATATCCCAGCAGTAACTGGAGAGCAAGACCCTCATGAGAAAGCTTTTTATTGTAAGAAACACATTTAGGTTGTTTGGTAGAAAGCCCTTTATTCTCTGACTGCAGGGCCATCATTTGTACCCGAAACAAGCAGAGCAAGAGTAAACCTGTCAGATCCCACATGGCTGCTACTTATTTTTGTACAAAAGAGGTATGTGAAATTTGACTGGTAGCTGACAACCCAATACCAATTTGGTAGCTGTTGAAAGTATTGAGAATGACTGTTCTTGTCCTCAGAATGCTCTGTTAAGGCACTCCTGGCAATTTAACTCCTGAAGAAAGAGAAACTGGGGCTGGTTTTTAGAGGGAAGAAGACAGAATCTTTGAAAAATAAGAGCTCAACAACACATTGTATTGATCTGCAAGCCAAGCTCTCAACATCTTTTATGATGAGCATATTCAGGGAGGAAGCAGATGAGAGTGTGATTTGGATCAGGGCTCTGATAAAAACACTTTCCTCCCATGCTGATTCCACATTTCCTCCCATTGAGCTTTGAATAGCCACAGAGGAGGAACACACAGGTGGTTTATGGGTAAATGGGGCAGCAAGGCAGGGAGAGGGGGCAACATCTTTCATCATCAGAACCTGGACCAGCAGGCCTTTCCAGTAATTGAAATGTCAGAAGAAAGTTTCCCCTGCTGGAAACATACACCTTCAAAGTTTCTCTGCATCTTTTATGCAGGTGCAGCTGGGATCCTCACAATTGGCATCCTTGCCAATTTTCTGCTGATAGAAGGATACCTGAGACATAGAGGAAACATGCATGTTCCATTGGGGACTTACAGTAAATCTTTTTTTATTGTTGACTCTTAGCTGCCTGTTTTGATCCCGTGTTTATCCCCATGGTGCAATCTCCATCCTGCTGAGTAAACCTGACACAAAGACCTTTGCTTTCAGGTGTATCGATCAGGAACTGTTTGTTCTGTCTAAGGCAGTGAACAAAACCTCTCTATTTCATCCATCCCCGGACACCACCATGACAGCTCAATTGCCGCTTCTCCTGCTGTTTGTGATTTTGAATCCAGGGGAGCTATTCTTGGTGAGATTCCAACACATCAAATTTCATATTTATTTGATTCTGTTAGAATTTATGCCCAACTCCCAACCGTCACATATAAGGTATTTGTCTATAGAGAGAGAGATAATTGGAGACAAAATGGGAAAGGAGCGAGACAAGGTCTAGAGTTGTGAAGAATATGATGCAGAACTATTTCCCATCCTACTCCACCTGAAAGGCACCATAATATTTCAGACCTATTCATGAGACTTGTGATATGCCCTCAGGTCTAGTGACTCAGCACAAGGCTGGGATTTGTGAGTCTCAGGGGGCTTTTTTCTATCTATTGTTTTGTGACATGAGATATGCTTCATTGTTATTCATTTGTCTTGTAGGAGAAAAATATCCATTGTTGAAAACAATTGGTTTCCGCAGCACTCAGCTAGTCTATTGTGCTCAATGGCATTGGTGGACCACCTTCAGATATGTCTATTCCTGTTAGGGATTCTGTTTGAAAGTGCGTGGAAGCCATATGGACTTGTTGCCATGTCATCAGGGATGGCCAAGAGCACATTCCTATCCCCTCCTCATGCCTACACCATTCTGTTAAGAGATGGAAGATTTTTAAACATTTACATTTATATTTCGGACTCCAGAGGTCAAGTAGCACAGCTCTTAATTGTTCCCAAGGGAGTTTTCATGTTGACTTTTAAAATTTTAACTTCTCCTCCAAAATAAAACCACCCACACACATACTAAATCCCAAATAAGAATTGGAAAACTTTCACAAGGCTATTTCCTCCCCCACAATGTTGCTTCACTCTTTTGTGAGCTTCTTAAAAGACATAATAGATATGTGGATTTTTCCTTCTGCAAAGGTGATCTCTCTGTGCAATTTGAAAAGAAGCAGAAAAAAGGAATCCTGCTGCAAAAAGGCCATTAACCTTCACATGAGTTATATATGGGATGTAGTTAGAGAAGCAGACTCCTCAGTTCAATGTTCATGCATATGCGTATGCATACGTGTATGAGTGGGTGGGTGGTTCTGTTTTAGTAAGAGCTAGCACGTTCTCTTCACTCTTCTCTCCATAAGTGTCCGCCTTGTGAGGTGGTCCAGACAAGAAGCACAACCAGGAGTACTTGTTCTCTCTTTATTGTAAGTTACATTAACAGGATCTTGCAAGTCTGAAAGTACATCTCTCCCCCCTCACCTTTACAGTCCAAGAAACTAAGGAGGGTCCCTTCTGAGATGTTTGCACACCCCCATTTCTTCTGCGGACTCAGCTGCCATTTGTTTGACTGTTGCCTAGTCTTTGGCTCTTCTTTCTCTCTCCCAAGGTCATTCCTACATACTATTACAATAAGCCATAAGTTACTTTGGTGTAGTCCTGGTTGCTTCTTTCCAGCTCTCTTCCAAAGAAGTTCTTGTCCAGCTGGAGAAAGGAAAAAGGTTTTGTCATCCTTGTCTGGGAAATATGTAGTTTCTGACAATGACATTATCTGCTGGATTGCAGGTTCCACTTCCTTGCTATATAGCAGCTTTCTCTGACAGGGTGGTGGAAATTGTACATGTCTGTATTGGGGAAGGCAGCTGTAAAAATAACTGATAGAGCCGGCTGTTATAACCTTTTATGCATTCACTTACTACATCACAATTTACAAACAGTTCTAAGATTTTGTAAGTGGGCAATATTTTGCTTGTCTTAAATCAAAAGGACATTACAAATGAATTGCAAAACACAGGTAGTTCTCACTTACCGACTGCCATTGGGACTGGCAACTCCATTGCTAAGCAACATGGTTGTTAAGTGAAATGTCACGTGACTGTGCTGTACTTATGATGTCAGTTCCTCTACAGCTGTTAAGCGAATCACAGTGGGTTGCTAAGCACGATATCATGTGTCTGTGACTTGCGACTTCCTGCCAGTTTCCCCATTTTTTTATATATATAATTTTTATTAAAGAAGTTTTTCCACAGAGTAAAAACAATACAAATTTTAAGTTAAAGATAAGAGAAATAGATAAAGGTAATAGAAAAGTAAAAAAGAAATAAATAGGAATAGAAATACAAATAGAAATACAAATAGAAATACAAATAGAAAAGAAGGAAAAAGAAAGAATAATAAAGAAGTGGTTTCCGGTCTTCTTAACAGCATATAAGTACATTTATATTTTACCTTCTCTCTCTCTAAGTTTTCATCAAAGTTTCCTTCTTTCCATAATCTACCCTCTCTAATAATCAAATCCATAAATCATCAGTTCGTTTTTTAATTTTTTCAGCAAAAAGTTCATAAGGGGTTTCCAGTCACTAATAAATGTAGTAGTTGATCTGTCTCTAAGCAAACAAGTTAATTTCCCCATCTCTGCTAGTCCTGTCATCTTCACCAACCATCCCTTCATTGTGAGTATTTCAGAATCTTTCCATTTTTGCACATATAGTTGTCTCATAGCAGTGATCATATATAATCTTCCATGGCTTTTTGCTAGTTGTCTGTCCATTAATCCCAGCAAAAATGTGGTTTCAGTTGAATCTTAATGTTTAAAATTTTTTGTATCACCAAAGAATTTTATTTGATAACATTTGATATATTTGAAACAAAAATTTTCTGGCTTTTTTACAAGTCCACCAAGCATGATAAAATGACCCTTCATGACGTCCACATAAATTGTCAGTTTCCCTTTCCGACTTTGCTTGTCGGAAGCCGGCTGTGAAGGTCATAAATGGTGATCACATGACCGTGGGATGCTGCAACCGTTGTAAATGCGCACTGGTTGTGAAACGCCCTAATCATGATCATATGACCTCAGAGACTTTGTGACAGCCACAAGTTCAAGGACCTTGAACTACTTTTTCAGTGCCATCATAACTTCGAACAGTCGCTGAATGAGGCAGTAGGTAAGTGAGGACTACCTGTATATTGGAAGAAATACTAAGCAAAAAAGCCAAAGAATGTGCATCATTTAATAAAAAGCAGAGAGTTTATAAAAATGGAC